TCTGTGCGATGAAAATCCAGGGACTAGTACGAAGCCAAAAATGCGACACATTGAACTGCCTGTAGGTGGCGCTGTTGCACTCACAGTTGTGTGTTGCATATCGTTGTGTTCAGGGTCATACGCTGTATTTCTGAATTCATTTTTAGCCTCATCGGACAAATATTTTGCCCCAAAAAGCTCATTCCTTCACTTTACGGCGCCCCCAGTGGTCAGGTGTGGGACTTACAACTTTTGCGTAATGTAATGTTTTGCTTGTCTCGGTCCAGAGAATACACTCAGCGATTTTCGGGCCGATCCGAGCACTAGTGCCCTATTACTTTCCGACAGGTGGCGCTAAAGAGCTCATATTGGGCGAATGATTTTAGTGTCATTGCGTTCAGGCCATAACCTAATATTACTGATGTGAGTCTCAGCTCTGTAGGTCTGAGCCTGTGGCCCTCAGGGCTCAGCGAAAATGGCCAAAACGAAGGCCTTATTCGCCATGGCGAGGGACGAAAACGGTGAAGATTTTCTAACTTTTTTTTGATGATTATATAACTTCAATCCGTCCAGATTAGGAAATGACGTGGTAGAACTCTGTGTGATGAAAAACCAGGGACTAGTTCGAATTTTTAAATGAAAAGTCAAATTAGTGGCGAAACTTCGGCCCATCATGGCCGACTTCCTGTTGGTCCCAGACATGTGCTTAGACCGGCTTTTATGCTCGTCTCATAGAGATCTATCACTCATCCGAATTTCGTGTACCTACTCCAAAAATATGCAATCCTGCCTCCAATAGAAATGGAAAATTTTGAATTTTCAAGGGGGCGCTATTGATTCGCCTTTTGTCGGACAATCTCGAAACGTCCGTTTTATCAAATTTTTCGCCGAACCGGTCGTTTTAGACCCCCCATGTGCAGACTTTCGTGCATGTCTTCAGGGTCAAAAATCGAATTGAAGTTGCGGAAAAAGAATAATATGAAACCACCGAATAACAATTTTCATTAAAGCCGCAAGCGGCGATGAAAGGCCTCGCCCCTCTTGCGACCGCCTCCTGGGCGCCAGTCCCACAAGCGTCACGCCGACGAATTGGCAGCCCGATCTGACCAGGATTACGTATATAAAAGCTCATTTATATGATAAAGTGCGTCCCTAGTGGTCACCTCCGGGACATGCACCCTCTACGTAGAGTAGTATTTTGCTCGTACAGATGTAAAGATTTGATTTTGCAACTTTGGTGAAGATCGGAAAAGTTTAGGTCAGAAGCCTTCCATAGGTGGCGCTGTAGAGTCATATTAGGTGTGTGTTTTCACACCATTACTCTCAGGTCATTACCAACTGTTAGCGATGTGAGTTTCAGCTCTGTAGGTCTGAGCCTGTGGTCAGGAGAGCATCAAACATGGAGAAATTCCCCACTACCTCGCATGAAAACGATAACAAAATTCTAACTTTTATGCGATGATTGCATAACTTCAATCCGTCCAGATGGAGAAATGACATGGTAGAAGTCTGTGCGATGAAAATCCAGGGACTAGTACGAAGCCAAAAATGCGACACCTTGAACTGCCTGTAGGTGGCGCTGTTGCACTCACAGTTGTGTGTTGTATATCGTTGTGTTCAGGGTCATACGCTGTATTACTGAATTCATTTTTAGCCTCATCGGACAAACATTTTGCCCAAAAAGCTCATTCATTCACTTTCCGGCGCCCCCAGTGGTCAGGTGTGGGACTTACAACTTTTGCGTAATGTAATGTTTTGCTCGTCTCGGTCCAGAGAATACACTCAGCGATTTTCGGGCCGATCCGAGCACTAGTGCCCTATTACTTTCCGACAGGTGGCGCTAAAAGCTCATATTGGGCGAATGATTTTAGTGTCATTGCGTTCAGGCCATAACCTAATATTACTGATGTGAGTCTCAGCTCTGTAGGTCTGAGCTTGTGGCCCTCAGGGCTCAGCGAAAATGGCCAAAACGAAGGCCTTATTTGCCATGGCGAGGGACGAAAACGGTGAAGATTTTCTAACTTTTTTTTGATGATTATATAACTTCAATCCGTCCAGATTAGGAAATGACGTGGTAGAACTCTGTGTGATGAAAAACCAGGGACTAGTTCGAATTTATAAATGAAAAGTCAAATTAGTGGCGAAACTTTGGCCCATCATGGCCGACTTCCTGTTGGTCCCAGACATGTGCTTAGAACGGCTTTTATGCTCGTCTCATAGAGATCTATCACTCATCCGAATTTCGTGTACCTACTCCAAAATATGCAATCCTGCCTCCAATAGAAATGGCAAATTTTGAATTTTCAAGGGGGCGCTATTGATTCGCCTTTTGTCGGACAATCTCGAAACGTCCGTTTTATCAAATTTTTCGCCGAACCGGTCGTTTTAGACCCCCCATGTGCAGACTTTCGTGCATGTCTTCAGGGTCAAAAATGGAATTGTTTCGGCGGAAAAAGAATAATATGAAACCACCGAATAACAATTTTCATTAAAGCCGCAAGCGGCGATGAAAGGCCTCGCCCCTCTTGCGACCGCCTCCTGGGCGCCAGTCCCACAAGCGTCACGCCGACGAATTGGCAGCCCGATCTGACCAGGATTACGTATATAAAAGCTCATTTATATGATAAAGTGCGTCCCTAGTGGTCACCTCCGGGACATGCACCCTCTACGTAGAGTAGTATTTTGCTCGTACAGATGTAAAGATTTGATTTTGCAACTTTGGTGAAGATCGGAAAAGTTTAGGTCAGAAGCCTTCCATAGGTGGCGCGTGTAGAGTCATATTAGGTGTGTGTTTTCACACCATTACTCTCAGGTCATTACCAACTGTTAGTGATGTGAGTTTCAGCTCTGTAGGTCTGAGCCTGTGGTCAGGAGAGCATCAAACATGGAGAAATTCCCCACTACCTCGCATGAAAACGATAACAAAATTCTAACTTTTATGCGATGATTGCATAACTTCAATCCGTCCAGATGGAGAAATGACATGGTAGAAGTCTGTGCGATGAAAATCCAGGGACTAGTACGAAGCCAAAAATGCGACACATTGAACTGCCTGTAGGTGGCGCTGTTGCACTCACAGTTGTGTGTTGCATATCGTTGTGTTCAGGGTCATACGCTGTATTACTGAATTCATTTTTAGCCTCATCGGACAAACATTTTGCCCCAAAAAGCTCATTCATTCACTTTACGGCGCCCCCAGTGGTCAGGTGTGGGACGTACAACTTTTGCGTAATGTAATGTTTTGCTCGTCTCGGTCCAGAGAATACACTCAGCGATTTTCGGGCCGATCCGAGCACTAGTGCCCTATTACTTTCCGACAGGTGGCGCTAAAGAGCTCGAATTGGGCAAATGATTTTAGTGTCATTGCGTTCAGGCCATAACCTAATATTACTGATGTGAGTCTCAGCTCTGTAGGTCTGAGCCTGTGGCCCTCAGGGCTCAGCGAAAATGGCCAAAACGAAGGCCTTATTCGCCATGGCGAGGGACAAAAACGGTGAAGATTTTCTAACTTTTTTTCGATGATTATATAACTTCAATCCGTCCAGATTGGGAAATTACGTGGTAGAACTGTGTGTGATGAAAAACCAGGGACTAGTTCGAATTTCTAAATGAAAAGTCAAATTAGTGGCGAAACTTTGGCCCATCATGGCCGACTTCCTGTTGGTCCCAGACATGTGCTTAGAACGGCTTTTATGCTCGTCTCATAGAGATCTATCACTCATCCGAATTTCGTATACCTACTCAAAAATTTGAAAAAAAATCCCCAGAGGGTCCAAAAAAATGAAATTTCTAGGGGGCGTTATAGAGTCGGCGAGCGTCGGACAATCTGGAAACGTTCATTTTATCAAATTTTTCGCCGAACCGGTCGTTTTAGACCCCCCATGTGCAGACTTTCGTGCATGTCTTCAGGGTCAAAAATCGAATTGAAGTTGCGAAAAAGAAAAAGAATAATAATATGAAACCGGTGAATAACAATAGGCCTCCCCAATACTTCGTATTGGCTCGGCCTAATAATATGAAACCGGTGAATAACAATAGGCCTCCCCAATACTTCGTATTGGCTCGGCCTAATAATATGAAACCGGTGAATAACAATAGGCCTCCCCAATACTTCGTATTGGCTCGGCCTAATAATATGAAACCGGTGAATAACAATAGGCCTCCCCAATACAAGTATTGGCTCGGCCTAATAATATGAAACCGGTGAATAACAATAGGCCTCCCCAATACTTCGTATTGGCTCGGCCTAATAATATGAAACCGGTGAATAACAATAGGCCTCCCCAATACTTCGTATTGGCTCGGCCTAATAATAATATGAAACCGGTGAATAACAATAGGCCTCCCCAATACTTCGTATTGGCTCGGCCTAATCATGATAGCCCAAGTTGATTACATTACGTTTTTAGCCAAAAAATCATTCTGGGTGTTCTTTGAAGAAAGGAAGACGTCAAGATAACGGACAAGGGGTTTATCCAATCACATACAAGGATTTTTTTTACAAGGCCTGCCTTCTGAAATCCAACCGCTATGGCTCAGACCCAGACCCATGTGAGAGGCGCAGCGATCTACAATGGCAGGCTCCATAGGCAGGAATCTGGAGGCAAATTTGTGGGTAGTAACGATATAGCAACCAAAGAGCCAATCAGTTGAGGTGCTGGCTGTTTCCCGCTTGCGCTACTCACCAGCTGAAGCAGATGTTGGGGGACATCATCTGAATTTACCAAGACAATGTCAAAACAAAAAACACCAAGATCATGCATGAGTGCATGAATATAAAACCCAAATTGCTGAGTGTAACACAAACAGTCGCAGAGTACAAGGATGTGAGTGGATGGAGCCAAGGCCAATAAAAAAAAAAAATCCCATGTGCACTTACCTAATAGACCTTATAGAGCTAGCGGGAGCATTGTCCAGTCCTACTATGAACAGTCTACGAACAGTGCAATAACAAAATGCTAACTTGTTTTTGTATGATTATTATGATGAATTGATTTAGCAAATGAATGTTGTCAGGTGACATGGCAAAGATACGTGCATTTGCTGAATGTCAGTTTGAAGAAGCCACACAAAATCAGAGCGAGTTGGAGGAAAAGTTGGCTCAGATGGAACAGAAGGTGGCGGCAGCTCTGAAACAGAAAGAGGAAAGTCACAGGGAGCAACTGGAAGCCGAACAAAAGAAGAAGGTATGGTACATTTAAGAGTTCATGCTAGTTTTTGCGGTCAGCCCTCTCATAAGCTTGTGTAATATGATGTACAGGAGCGTGAGTTTGCAGAGCTCACCGCACTGGGGGAGCGGGCCGAGGAACACATGAGGACACAGTGCGAGGAGCAGCGGTCGCTCAGTCACAAGGAGCTCCAGCAGGTGCAGGAGGAGCTGGCCAAACTTCAGCACGAGTCCAACCAAAGCCTTCTGAACGCAGAGAGTGAAAAGCAGCATGTGTGTGGTTTGACATTCCTCACAGTTTATGATCCGTTCCCAATATGATTATTATTTTATATTTTTGGGACATATGCTATTGGTCCAGGACACATGTAGAAAACGTATTTAAAATCTTAAGCCCTTCTAGGGACAGACATTGCAAATTAGCCTTGGCTATAAATGTTGTAGTGTTTCACATGTTGATTGTGTACACTTGTCTATCTCTATCAAATAAATAAAAAAGTGTATTGTGTGTGTTTATTGCACTTGTATATGTAGTAATTTTAAGAATTGTTAAGTAGATTTTGTATTTATTTTTATACTAGGAAAGTTATTTCCTAGTTTGTTTCTTCCTGTTACTAACAATGGCAATTAAATTAATTCTGATTCTGATTCTAAAAACCTTTTACTTTGACTGCTTTTTCTTTATAGTATATGATTTAAAAAAATAGCCTCAATAAGTTGTGCAGCTGGACAGTACAAACAATTGTCATGAAATTGTGCATACTACTTGTTAGTTTGAGCATTCATTTTACATCTGGGTATTCTTCCTTGACTTCAAACATGGGAAAGACTGGAAAGAAGTTAATAATAACAAGAACTGGGTTTCGTTTGTTCATTTACTGCAGCATTTGACCTTGCGGTTTTTCTGTGCAGGCTCTGTCCCAACTGGAGAGCGAGAAGGCTGCCCTCGCTGAGAAGCTGGCAGCTCTGCATCAGGACCTGGCCTCTGCAGAGACGGAACTGGAGAGCATTAGGAGGGAGGCTCACAGCAAACAAGAACACGACAAGGTAGCGAAAAAAGGCACAATGTTTATGTATGAAGGACATAGAGTACTGGAGATTGAATTAATGTTTCAGAATGCACTGGATATTCTTCGCTCTGAGCTGCAGCGACTACAGGCTCACTTTGAGGACTCTCTGAATGCCCATGAGGATGACAAGATAAACCTAACTTTGCAGATGAAAGAGCTGAATGAACAGAAGGAAAATGCTAAACTTGAGGTGAGAATATTTGAAACTGTTTATCTCCATAAATTGCAACTGTAAGTGCAGTGTTGCAACTTACTCCTTTCGTTCAAACATACCATAACCATTTTAATTCAAGCCTATTTTTGAGTTCAACATTAAAATCTACAAATACAAATTCAGATTTTTAAGTCACCCAATAATGACAGTGAGAGATTGTTCAATCATGGGAATGGATGGGAAATTACAGCAATGTTTGACTTGGCATAAATATAAGTCTTTAGATTTGCCTCTGCTGGGAGGAGAGGGAGTTTGTACCAATTAGTACAAAGTGGGGGAGAGCCATTTACCAAAGGCCAGTGTTGACATTGGCTCATGCTGCAGAGCTTTACTAGCATCAAGACGCCTTCAGGTGTGTAGCCCACAAGGCCATAATCTACAAAGCAAAATTCCTCCTGCTTGCATTTTCTCTGTAAAGTTCCCCGGTATAAATATTAGCTTCACTGACCTTAATACAAACAAAAAAGTGCTATTACACTACATTTTGGGCCAAGTGACATACATCTCTAAGTTAAATGAAGGCAGTAAATCTCCTCTCCCAATGTTGGCTGAGGTCAAAAAGCAGGCCAATGGTCGTTATGTGTTTTAGTAAAACAACAACCTCACAGTCACCTCATTAGACTCAGGCAGAATTGTAAGTTATTGGTCTAAATGATGTGCAAGCTATGACAGGGGAATTGTTTATCAGTTTGGTTTCAGTAAAAAAAGCTAAATGGAGTATCATCTTGTCTTCACGCTGTCTCTTTAGTCCTGTCAGCCTGTAGTGAATGAGGCTGCATGGAGCCACAGCAGCAGAGTTTGAGGTTTGGACTGCTGCGTTCTGCTGTAGATCAAGTCATGCTTGTGTGACACTGTATGAGTTGGCTGCCAAGGTCTACTCCATTTGATGTTTAATTATTTTTACTAATCCCATCTCAGGATTCTCATGTCAAGCTGTGACAAAGGAGGAGTATAATGTATGAAGGGCTTCAAGAGAGCATTTAGGAAGGAAAAGCCAAATGGAAAGAGTGAGAACAAGATGGGACGATACGGTCCCTGGTACCAAAATATGAAATCAAAGTTTGAGTTAACCCCTTGTGTAAATAAACCATAGAGGGAGTGTTTATTTTCTTCTTTGCAGCAGCGAGAAGCTGGCTCCACTGGGACACCAGGTCCCTCTGTCTTATCCACATAACACAACACTGCTGCCCTCATATTCTCTGCCCCATTCTCTACTCCTCTTCACAAAGAATCAGATAAAATAAAGTATAATTGGCTGGATCTACTCTAGCTTGTTTTTTCTCACATTAAGGTTTATGAGAAGAAAACGCATCTTGTGTGGCCTCTGAGCACTCCTTCTATTCCTACTCCTCATCCTCCCACCATCCCTCTGTCCCAGGGTGGGGGGCTGCTGTTTATCATGTTGCACTGGATTTTTTTAACACTTGAAGCAGCAGCAGCACAGAGATGGGGAAAGACAGCACATGGAGCTGAGCCAAACTGGCCCTTATCCATGCCAAGATAAGCTCTGTCCTCCCTATTCCTCACACTAAACATAATGTCTTAAAACAGAATATAGGTCAAAGGGTTGCCTGAGATACAGCACACTCAATATATGTGTAGAGGAAATAGGAGTAAGAACAGCTTTGTGACTGCAGATAATGGAGAATATACCTGTGTAATTCATGAGGGAGTTTATTTCAGGCACAGAAATGTTACACACAAAGTACATGGAACGCAAAACAACTATTTTCATTGAACTTCAAGGTTGAAGATAAATGTCGACTGTTAAAAAAAGCTGAAGATGAAGTGGTTACGCTACAAACAGAGCTGATTGACGCTCACAGACGGCTACAGGAGTGCGTTCAGGAGCGAGATCAGCAGCATAAAGAAGTCCTAGACGTCAGAAGACTCTTGGGAGATGAGACCAGGGAAAAGGGGACGATTCAAGAGACAAATGATGAGCTGAGGATTCTCATTAGGAAAGCGGAGAGCGACAATAGCAGGTAACTGGCACCAACACATATTTTTTGGGGCATTGTATGTCTTTTTCTGTCTAAGATGTTCTAATTTGATTGTAATGATAACATAATAACATGTTATCTATCTCTCTATCTATCAATCTAATGTTCTTAATGCTGTGGTCATTTTACAAGCTTAAGACGAAATGCAGAAGAGAGGGAGCAAAAGGTATCCGTCCTAGAAGAATACAGAAGTACAATTCAACAGGAGGCCACTACACTTCGGAGAACTGTGAGAGAGCTCGAGAAATCTCGCCTTGAAGCACGCAGAGAGCTGCAAGAGCTTCGCCGACAAGTAACATGAACTTTTCTTTCGTTTTTTTCTTTTCTTTGTATGCAAAAATTTTACATTTGTGTCACATCCAGATAAAGAGCCTTGATGGAGAGAACAAGCAGCAGAAACAGGAGCTGAAGGAGCTTTATGGTCGTATTTGTCAAGAGGAGCAGAAGGAAGAGGAGGCGCGTCGTGAGGCTTTCACTCTGAAGCAGCGACTACTGGAGAGTGACGCAGGCAGAGAGGCAGCGCTGAGCGAGGTATGAAAACAAATATGCAGCAGAGAACAAGCGCAACATTTAAAGATTATAAATGAGTACTTTTAGTCCAACATTTTCAACACACTGGGCACAAACATTCCTTAGAAAATAGTTCAAAACAGATGCAGAATTTAAAAATACATGTATAAAAAATAAAGATTTTGATGGAGAATTTAGAAGTTAAAAGTTAAAGCGAACTACCCACTTCAGAGGTCCATTGGGTAAGGTACTGCCCAATGGATTGCAATACTTGTGCCGTTACAGTACATAATAAAACTATAAATAAATAAAACAAATCATGCACAATACATACATTTAGCTAGGTTTGTACAGCCTAGATTATGACTATTCCCACATATTTCACTTGATAAACATATTTGAATGTCACTTTTTAATTAACAAATGCGCACAGCAACAGAATGTTGTTTCTTTCCTCAGGTTTCAGGATATCAGCGGCGCCTGGTTGAACTAGAAACAGCTGAGCATAAAAACAAAAAACATTTGCTGCAAATGGAGTCCAATCAGCTGCAACGTGAGCAGATGCACAGACAAACTACAGCCCAGCTAGAGGGGGCGCTAGAGGATGCTATGGTCCAGGTGCGAGAGCTGTCAATGCAGGGACACCTCAGTGAGAGTAAGACGCAGGGCCTGGAGAAGCAGCTGGATTTGGACAATGGGAGAAGAAGAGATCTGGAGACACGATTGGCCAGACTCCACTCAGTACTGCACCAAACTGTTTTTAACAAACACACAACAATCACAAATGGTTCTCCCAGAAGATCTCATTCTCCGCGGAGAAAGCCATCTCAAAGTACGTCTGCCAGTGTTAGTTATACTGTAACTTTGATCCTGTTGCTGGAACCACTGTATTGTTTTTAAGAGGACATTAATGGAAGAGAGTGGAGTTCTACTGTGGCTGAGGAACTGGATGTAGAAACGGTGCAAATTGTACTCCAGGAACTGCAAACAGAACTGAAAGAGGCACGAAAAGACAGGGTGAGGTTACACTGTTTTATTGACTTTATACCATTCTAAACCACCGCAGCACATTATTCTGCTGTGCCTTGCCTGTAATATAGGATGAAGCATGTGCTTTACTTGATAACTTAAGACATGAAGTGACAGAGCTTCAAGACAACCTTAAAAAAAATGTCAGTCAATGCGAACTGGCACAGAAGTCTTTGAAGAAATCAGAGGCTGGTCTGTATGCTTTGTGATATTCAAGTGAATATTACGCAATCGCTCTTCATATGTAAAAATAAAAACAATGTTTCAGGAAAAAGAGAGGTGGAAGAACACTTGCACAAGGCGCTGACTTCTCTTACTCTTCAGGAGGAAGTAGTGCACAGAACTGAAAGAGAGAAGAGAGGCCTTCTGGACGAACTGGCGCATCTTAAAAATAGAAATCTATCAGTAGAAGCAGAGTCAAGAACATTGCAGGTAAGTGTAAATGAAACATATAATCATACATTTCTTTTGGCTCACTTCCAAATGAACCGAATTATACCCAGGGCAAACTGGAGCTGTGTTTAAGTTCAGAATCACAAGCCACTGCTGAGCAGCAGAAACTGAGGAAGGCTCTGGAGGTGGCTGAGGGTCAAGTGAAAATCCTGGTGCTGTCACAGCGCACCCTGGAGGGAGAGCTCCAGAGAGCTCAGCTTAAAGCAGCCGAGCAAGATGCCCAGGCAGGAGCTCTGCAGCTGAGACTTACTGAACTCAAGAGGAGGCTAGGAGAGAGTGAGGACCGCTGCTCCACACTGAGGCTGAGCGAGGAGAGGCTGAACACGCAGCTGTCTCGAGCTGAAATACAGGAAGCTCAGCTGAGGGAGCAGCTCCACAAACTGTCCTCCTCTGTGAGCGACAGCCACAGCAGCTCAGAGTCTCAACAACAGCAGCTAATTCAGCTCCAGAGGGCTCTAACCACGAGTGAGCAAGACCGGTGTGCACTACAGGTACAGCGAGCCTTCTCCTTACACAGTGTTACAGCGGTGCAGTGGTTAGAACTGTCTTTCCAGCAGGAGAAGACAGTTCTACTGCGTTCTACTTCCATGTCAAACAGGGTCTTTCTGAGTGGAGTTTGCATACTCTATCTGTGTCTGTGTAGGTTTCCTCCTGATGCTGCAGTTTCCCCTAAAAACATGTAAAACGAGACCACAAATAAAGACTATAGCCTTGTTGCTCCGTAATACACACTGTCCCTAACAAATGAAATTATGTTTGAATTAAACTATTAAGTATTATCCAATGTATTCCTTTTTTAAAGATCGCATTAATCATATTTTGTTCTATTGATTTACTGTGTCATAATATAACCGCTGCGTCTCCAGACAGACCATTTTTATTTACATTACAGCTGAAGTTTTCCTAGAGGTCCTAACACATGCAGCAGTAAAATGTTTGGGCAGCTCATTAATTCTCTTCTCAAGAGAGCGCATTCAGGGATATTGTGCAAACAAAAACATACAATACTTAACATAAATCTATAATTTAGCTTAAAGAGATAGAAGTTAAGCAGATTTTTAAAAATGAACCCATTATGACCGACGATCTTGACCAGAAACTATGTGTATGCTCGACAGGAACATCTGGATAAAACACGTGAAGCTCTCTCTGAGTCAAAGAAGCAGAACCACTCTTTAACAGAGAGGACACGGAACATTCAAGTGAGACACGAGGAATTGCAACTAAAATACTCAGAGCTGGAGAGACTTTGTCACACACTGAAAGAGGTTTTTAAGATTAAGATTCGGAGATCGTTTATTCGTCCCAAAGTCATATGTGAAGTGCAGAGACGTTCATACTATGTACAGTATATTATTAATCCTTTTTTATATTCTAGAGCTTGACACAGCAACAAAATGCTGACCTTAATGGCCATAGGAGAGTGCCACAGCTCCAGCAAGAGAATAACAATTTGCTGGAGAATGTAAAAGCTCTCCAAGGCGCCTTGCAAAAGGTTCAGCACGAGAAGGCAGAGATGGAGAGAAAAGCTACACGCCTCCATAAAGACAAATCGGCTTTGAGGAAATCTCTGGAGAAGGTGAGAAGCACCCTGCATTGGATTAAACATTAAAACAGGATCTCATAAAGTCATGTACTGAACTGAAGACTTGACATTCAGAAACCACCCCTTAAAGTTGCGGTGGAAAGACAGGCTTTGTATTTTGTCCCAATCACCAAAACAAGGAGCAGCTATTCCAGGACAGCAGCCACAGTGGAAGATGGATTCTTATAGCTACTGCATAGTTTAAACAGTACACTGAGTTCCAGGACGGGATCGGGTCTTTAGTCCTGAAGAGACCTGAATAATCCCTTAGAGTTAAATGAGGTAAAAGATCTGAAGCACTAAAGTTACACAGCCAAGCCACAAGCGGCTTTAAATGCAATAAAATCATCTTAATGTCAAATCTAAAACTGTTGGAAGCACTTTTAAGTGGAGGGAGCCAGAGCTAGGGTAATATAGGTTTAAAGCTGTCAGAAGTTATTTATTTAGCTAAATTTTAGGCTCGTTAGTAAAGCATTAGCAAACCAACGTGGCCATTTACCTTACATAAATTAAAACAGCGGGAGATGATTTCGGCATCACATTTGATTTACGTCACAAGCTTTGTCACACGTAGCCTAAACTGGTGGAGACATGTAGGTGGATAGTGAGAACTTCCTGTGCTGCATGTAGATAGGACTGCACATGGAAATTGGTAATTAACAATGATAAAGTCATTCAAGTTTGTCGCTCTGTTGCTCTTGTCAGGTGGAAATGGAAAGGCTGAGGAACGAGAAGGAGGCATCTGCAGCGACCAGAGATCAGCAGAGACTGGGGGAAACTATCCATGAGCTGGAGCAGGAGCTCATTGAAAAGCAGAGAGAGATGCAGGTTAAACGGGGACATGGGGACACATTCAGTTACATATTCTTCAGTTTTGAATTATGTTTAAATTACATTACTTTTAATTTTTCTTTTCAACAATGTATTTATTTGAAAGTTCAACTTAAAACATAAGTCAAAAAGTCAAACATAAACTTTTAGACTAAATAGAATAAATAAAGGTCAGAAAGGCTTGAGACACTAGTGAGTCACTGCAAACATGACCCTCCAGAAGTCGGAGAAGAGCGTTATTTTATGTTCTAACACATACATTTACATGTACTGTATATCAAAGCAAGGTTTACAGTCTACACTATACACAATTGACATATCTGTTCACCTACAAACCCATTGAACCCAGGTTCATGACCTCAGTAACCTCAACAACCTACAACACCTCTACAACTACAACAGTGGACTTTTGTTTTTCAGTCTTCTCTTTGCTGCTTTTCCATGTAACATGTACATTTATCAATGTACAGTAAAATGTATGAACACATGCGTGTTTGTGTGTGTGTGTGTGTGTGTGTGTGTATGTGTGTGTGTGTGTGTGTATGTGTGTATTCAGGCTCATTTATCCCAGCTGGAGCATTTTCATGCACAGCACCTCCTGGAGGTGACAGCGCGCCATCACCAGGAGTTGGACTTGGAGACAGAGCGACTGAGAGCGAGCCAGCAGCAGGCAGAGCAGGCCTTGGAGAGCCGAGAGAAGGCCCATCGCCAGAGGGTCAGATGCTTAGAGGAACAGGTAATAAAAATGGTGCTGACTGTGAATGTATTTTAATTCTGCCTGAAATGTGTATGTGTCACATCAGGTATTGACTTTGAAAGAGCAGCTCGATCAGGAGACACGAAGGCGACAGTCCTGTTTTCATCAGATGCTGCAGCCTGCCGTGTAGGTTGAAAATATGTTGCACCTCCGAAGCCACACTTACTGTTCACATGGCAAACTCCCAAAAATGTGACATTACAAGCTACATCCACCTACATTTGGGACACAAACAGCCTTCAACACTCGCTCCCACCCATGCACATGTGCACACGGATTACATTAATCTGCAGCAAAACTCAACAACAACAAACAATGAATCTTTTGTTTATGAGTGGACTGGATGTGCCAAATTGTTTTAGGATTTCCTCTGACTAGCTACAGTTGGTGCTTCTAAGTCTGTTTATGCTGCATCAGATATTTAGGAAATTATGTGATGAAATGTTTCCTCAGATGGTGCCTGATTTAATGGAATGATTTGTTTACTGATTGTCATACTTAATTTATGTTTTGAATGGCATATATAGTCAATAATATGCAAAATCTTGAATTTCCAATAATGTGATCTTCTCTATCGTGGTAACAGGGTACCGCATCTTTTCATCATTATGAACATAGTTACTTGTGTGTCATTGTTTTTAATAAAGCTGGGAGTATCAAAGCTCTTTTTGTTTGAAACTTGTTGACGTGTGATAATCAATAACATTTCAACCACAGAATGGGGTTATGGAATGAGTTTATGAACTTTGTGAACGACAGCACTCCCCTTTGGAGGCATGTTTGGTTCACACCATTAAAAAAGCCTTTGTGGATTTAGTGTTGTGTGTGAGAAGATGACCTTCGCTCTCTGTTGCCAGTGGTGTCTCCAATGTGTTGTCTCCCGGTAAAATTAACTTTGCTTTCTGTGAAGATCCTCATTCCTCTAAAAATTCTTCTGGCACCCAGTTTGTTATCCTTAATGACCCCAACTCGAAGATATGTGCTCTTCTCTGCACTGATTGTATGTGCTACTTTCTAGAGTGCCAGAACATCATATGTAAGTATTTACTTTTCATTCCTCTCCCTCCATTCATATTCAGCTCTAAAGTGGTTCCCCTACTGCACTACGTGTCTTCTCACTATGTGACTTTTTACACCGTAGCAACTGTTCATAGTAAGTTTTGAACAGGGGGGAATCCTGTCAACGTTTCTTTAAAGCAGCCCTTTGATTATCATAGATCCACCCAGTGGTTATCCAGTTACCAGCCTCCTTTCAGCTATTGGCTGGAAAGAGCTAATTATGCAAGGTAGTGAATCCCTGTGGGGGAGGTGGGGCCAAAACTGAAAGAACTCCTTTGGCAGGCAGAATAGAGCTTTTATTGAGGATATTTCTAAGCTTGACCATCAGGGACCAAATCAGAGAATTGTTAGGGGGAAAAAGAAAGAAAACATCTCAGCTGAATCACGCTTACCCTGCTTTTTTCATTCTTGCAGTGAGTCGGGAGAGGACCTCATGCACCAGCAGGCAGTATGCAAGGAATCTCCAGTATTCCTCGCTTTGACAACAGAAGCCGGGTTGACTTTTAAAGAACAAGTGTGGAGAGATAGAAAGCAGCTTGGGGAGCATTCACAGCTCTGTGTCTGAGAGTGAAGGGACGTAACATTTTTCTGCCTGTGCTGCTCTGCTCCAGTTGCCTCAGGTGTGTGCTCCTCCCTCCCTCCATCAGCGCAGCATCATCCCAGGGGTGGATAAGGCCATGGTGCTGGTGGGTCTGCGGTCCTGTCTCTGCACCCTGCTCTCCCTGCTGACACTGCCCGGGGTGCATACAGTCGTGCCCCTGGAGGACTTTTACCCCTTCGGACCAAACAAGGGGGACTCTCAGACTGTGGCCCAAGACGATGGAGGATCGCGCTTGGTGGAGATTTCGGTGGCTTTCCCTTTCTTTGGAGACCGGCACAATGGACTCTATGTAAGTACAACACCAGTGGGTTATGTGCATTCATTTTATAATATTTGCTTAATGCTATTGATAAACCTTGCTGTTTTTCTAATTTGTGTATTGTGTTTTTAGTATATTTCATAATTTTATTGTTGGTCAAGTCAACATTTTAATCATATCAAGTGAGAAAGTTATCCTTGTTTAGTTTTTTATCACTTGTTCCATTGGCTGATGTTATTTCAAGCCAGTAAAGAATATACAGGAAATATATTTCCTTCAAGGACAATATACCGCTTTTTGATGTTCAAATGATTGGAAACAAATAATTTGTTGAAACAAAAAAAATGTCTAGTTAACTGTGCGATTATATTGGTTTGTGTTTTGCAATTTAGAAATAACTTCAAAGCGACAGTTTTTCCATAAACCGTGTGCATAGATATATTGTGTTTAAACTTGTACCAGAGTAGCTGAAAGTGGTAGTATATAAAATAGTTTTTGTGTTGTGCATCCACATTGTGCATGTGTCTGAATGTGTCAGCGTTTATGAGCGTGTGCATGCTTCTGGCAGTGGGAAATAGAAACTGACATGGTGAGGATTGTATAAGCGCCTCAGGGACATGGAAGTGGGCACACAGCCAAATACTACATTGCTTTGCCCTTTGAGAGTTTATATGTGTTTGTATGTGAGTGCGTGTGTAACCCCATTTGCAGGATATCGCATTCTCCCCCCTCGGCTGGAGTCATAACGATAAAACATTTTTCTGACTTTACATCTGCTCTCGCTGCACTCTGCAAAGCTCGCAGTGGGAGTGTAAAGCAGGACTATTAGGCGAACAGTGGTTAGTCCTATTCTAATAAGTCTACTAAGAGCTGTTAAAGGAAGTGACAGTTTGTGTTCGCTGTGTTGCTGCGCAGCATCTGTGAGCAGTTGGTTCTCACAGAGCTGAGGGGAAAGTATGCACGCGAGAAGGGGAGAGAGAGAGGAACAGCGCTCATGGGAGGAAGCCCAATGGTTTGACAAGGATTTTCGCGCACCACAATGAAACATACTTTGATCTGCCTTTGTCATGTATTGGGTTCTGTTCCAGCTTGGGGAAAGGCAGAACTCCCTTAAATCAACACCACCTGTTGTGGTTATGCATCCCGTGTGCTTCCCCCCATATTCCCTCCTCCCGCACACAGCCAGTGGAGGCTGGGGAGCCATGACAACAATAGCCAGGCCAAAGGTTAGCTTTCTAATTTAAGCTTTTGTGCAACAGAATGAAGTCACTCTTCCGAAGAAAGACTCTCACACACAGATCTGTGTACAGTGAAACAACTCAGGCATTTGAACTCACTAACCTTTGCCACTCTTTCTATTGACATGGATTTAACATGACGCAAAATTGGTATATTACAGTATATTGCATACCTATGTTATGTCATTGTGTCCTTCCCTCTCCTTTCAAAAGAGAGGGAAGGACATATAAAGAAAGTAAGTTTGACAAATATGTCAAACTTGATGCTATAGTACAAGCTTTACTCAATACCATTTTAAATGCCATTGCTTTTTTACTATTTGGTTACTCTTACTTGCATTTTCGGCTGTTTCAATTTACTGTATATAATAATTGTTTGTTGTAAAATCAGTTGCACGTCTTCATTCCATTGGTGTGTGATTTTGCCCGAATTACACCAGTTTCATACATAAAACACATCTTGTATCCAATTAGACAAGACGAGACAGCGCACAGGCTATTTCTCTGAATCCTATATCAAATCCTCAGGTAATCCTCAGACACTGGTTCTTAAGCAGCTCGCAGCCTGTGATATCCCTTCCTAGCTCTCCATCCCATTGGGCTGTTTCTTTGTAGTCATGCAGGTCATAACAGATTGTGGCAGGCACTTGAAATTACAGTCACGCTCATTGAAACGCCTCACCTGAATCCATTAAAACATCTGCTATAAAGAGCAGCCACATGTTGATCTCTGCCACGAGAGAGCCTTAACTGCTTTGAACAGGCAATACTTCAGCCAGCGCTAAGAGGCAAATTTGTATGAATAGTTTCTTTGAGGCATTCGGTTCAAGTGGACGGCAGCCACATGGAAGCTGCACATCTAGACTAATTGTGGACGCGTTGAGGGTGCTGTCTAATAGTATTATTTTGACTGATTCCTCCTTAGCATGTCTTTCTCCCTTTCAACTACAATTACATCCCCTGTGTTCTAAAACAAAGGCAATCATTTTACAAACAACCGAATCATCAATGGTTAATATTTGAATACAGTCCTAGTTAAAGCTGGGCTAAATAACTTTCCCTCCCATTAATCATCCTTAACGTTTGTCCCAACAGAAAGTCTTGAGGCTACCGTCCACTATTTTTATGTTTCTTTTTCTTGTTTTGTTAAGCACTTTGAGTTGCCTTGAGTATGATCATAGTTATATTAATAAACTTGCCTTGCCTGGCCTAAAATGTTGAGAACAAATCAGACCACATGCTGAGTTAGATAACATAATAGAAAACATGTTAAATTCTGCATATGCTTTAAGATGAGAGTCTTCTCTTTTTCACTTTTGTCTGAAAAAGTTGGTCTTTAGTTGTGACAGAGTGGGAGAAACTAGTTACATGGATTTTCTTTTGCACAGATTTTTTTTTTGTGGTTTGAAAGTTAGGTACTCAAGCCTTTTTCATATTAAGTCCTATAGTTTCATTGAGTTTTTAGTTCTAGTTTTGAGATTTGTTGATAGTAATGCCAATAGGATTTGTAATCCTACTGGACAAATCCAATAGAGGCATTATTACAGTTTGTAAGTGCCTTCATTTACATATATCATTACTATATTCTTGCGCAAACCCGTGAAGTGGTTTTGTGAGCACTCCAAGTTCCTCTACTGCTAACTAGATTGTCAGCATGTTATCATCCCTAACCCCCCTGTACTCCTACGCCTTAGATAGGGTCTTCCTATTTGCTTTATCTGAGAAATGACCAATTTCTCTTAACACAAGGCAGATGTACGTTCAGAAGGAGTTTCCAAACAACACCGGATGAACTCCAACTTATGTATAGAACGAGGAGGAGGACATCCAAGGTCAGGAAGTAAGGAGCAAAATCTTAAAGGCAGATGTGATTGAGGTATCATCAAGGGTGTTTATTGATTATTTTTAATCAAGGATTTTTTTAAATGCGATTTCATTGTTTATTTTCAAAAAGTATGATTTCAAGCTGCTAAACATGTAAACATAACATGTGCCAAGAATGTGCAATTGTAAACTGCTTGGGGAACATCTGTTAGTGCTCATCTTGAGATCTCCAACACTTGTGCAAATTCATTCAGTCGCTTTAGCTCGTCACCACGGCGCAAAGGGCCAAGGATGTGCGCATTCGCGATTCTTTGTACTCTGACCATATTCTACTCACCAGATGAATACCACGAGTGCTATTACTTACTTCATAGAGTTGGTTAAAGTGCAGAAGACACATGTTATCGCGTAGTCACTTTTTGCAGATTCTTCATAGCCGAGGCTGCGGTACGCCATGCACAATTAGCTGCTAAATGTATGGATAACGCAAGACAGACTTGAAGAGTGTAATTGTTAAAAGTAGTTTTATAGTGTAGATTGAGTTTCAGCTTCAGAAAGATGTTCTTTTAGGTTAATTACATTTCTTTGTAGTTTTTAACAGGCTATATATAAAGGCCCCACTGTATATTTTATAATGTTATTGTTACCCCTACCAATAAATAGTAGGAGTAGGGAGTAGTAGTAGTGGGGTAAGTAAGTAACAATACAAACATTCTAGATTGTTTCAGTTGTTCTTAGTTGTTTATATGCGTTACACCTGTCTTTCCTCATATGGAGTACAAGCTGGGAGAATCTCAGAAATCTTCTCAATATATTAGTAATATAATACACTATTATCGTTGTTTCTTTCTGTGTAAACTTCTGACTTAGAAAGTAAAATAAATATTTCAAAAGAATGATGTAAAATTGTGGCACTAGTAAATCATTTTCCATAAAACGGACCCAACTGACTGAGAAAAGTGCATATGTAAACTCTGTACTACTACTGAAAATGCTGATTATGTAAATGTATATTTCTATTGTAGGAGAAAAAAACTAGGTATTTGAGGCTGTCTGTAATAATCTGATTTTTTTTGTTTTTCTGTATTCACTAATTTGAAGTACTTTACAATATTTACATTCCTTTGTCTATGATGATACTATTAAATTTACTTTTTCTTTTCCTGTCACCTACTACACTTACAGTACATACACTTAGATACGTACATACATAGAAAAGCAATATATAACACTTGCAACAACTGTCGATATTTTTACAATTTCTCTTCACTATTGTATGTTTTCTTTTATGTTGAGCAGTGGTCACAAACGTGAGCATTAACACTGGAACATGCTTACTCAGGGCTCTGGATTTTGGCACTTCAGTTGATTTATTTAATTTTTTTTTAAGTTTACTTTGCAAACATGCATATTTGCCCATTCACTTCACCCTGCTCTCCGCTCCCCCTGAGTTGGATTGGATTTATGGCTGATAAAAGTGAACCTAGGTTAAGTGCACACAGTCTGTCAGGTCTCCCCATCTTGTTACTGGACAAGCTGGTAACTGTAAGCCCTCCCTTTTTGACAAGGCAGAATGATGTTTTCCTGACATGATCCATGGGCACCTTTTCATTCAGGTTTGTTTTGGCCTGAGTTAAGCCAGATGAAAGTTTATTTTAGCCCATAAATTGCTGGGCTCTTAAGAAAACCACCCAAGCAAAATCCTGCATGTATCCGGCAAAGAATCTCTCCAGACATAACAAGCGCGTTGTGAAGTGAAGGGGCAACATGAAATATGGAGACATATGGCTTTGTTCTCATACATTCACACCTGTGTTCAGACATTGGGCCCATTATAGTTGCGTAATATAAATCAGACCATTTCCTTTTTAATGTTGAATGTAATTTCTTGGTGGGATATACAGAATGCTCACAAACAAACGCCATCGACTTTCCTTCTACAATCCTTAAAAACTTTCCTATGTTGGC